ACTTGGTGTTTTTTTTTTTTTTTCTTCAAAGATGGGGTTTCACCATGATGGCCAGGCTGGCCTTGAACTCCTGACCTCAGGTGATCCGCCCACCTCAGCCTCCCAAGTAGCTGGGAATTATTATTTATTTATTTATTTATTTATTTATTTAGTAGAGACGGGGTTTCACCATTTTGGCCAGGCTGGTCTCAAAGTGCTGACCTTGTGATTCACCCACCTTGGCCTCCCAAAGTGCTGGGATTACAGGCATGAGCCACTGCACCTGGCCTCTTGGTGAATTCTTTAAAAAATGGATGTTGTATGCATTTGTCTTTTTTTACTTAGAAAAAAATAAAGGTAAGGCCAGGTACAGTGGTTCACACCTGTAATCCCAGCGCTTTAGGAGGCAGAAATGGGTGGATCACTTGAGGTCAGGAGTTAGACCAGCCTGGCCATCATGGCAAAACCCTGTGTCTACTAAACATACAAAAAGTAGGCGGGGTGCCTGGCTATGGCTCATGCCTGTAATCCCAGCACTTTGGAAGGCCAAAGCAGGTGGATCATCTGAGGTCTGGAATTCAAGACTAGCCTGGCCAACATGGTGAAACCCCTTCTCTACTAAAAATGCAAAAAATTAGCCCCACATGGTGACTGTCGCCTGTAATCCTAGCTACTCGGGAGGCTGAGACAGGAGAATCACTTGAACCCAGGAGGCAGAGGTTGCAGTGAACTGAGATTGCGCCATTGCACTCCAGCCTGGGCAATAAGAGCGAAACTCTTAAATACAACAACAAAAAATAGAGACAGGGTCTCACTGTGTTGCTCAGGTTTGTCTCAAACTCCTGGTCTCAAGTGATCCTCCCACCACAGCCTCCTGAAGTGTCGTGATTGCAACACTTTGGCATGAGCCACTGCACGGCCACATTTGTCGTCTTTTTATACAGAATAGTTTGTACTCAGCAGGTGGTTGGAGTTAAACTGATAATCATCCTGTCATTTTAGCTGTACTTAAGCTTTGGGCTTCCCTTTCTGAATTCTCCCAGGGAACAGTTTGAACAATGCAGGAAGCATTTTGTCTTCTGGATTCCTTACTTGTATAGCCATTCAAATACCTAAAACATATATTCCATGATACAAGTGTGAGACGAAACTTCCTTGATTCTGAGGCAGTAACATAAAGAATAAAGTGAATACAAAGAGTCTTATAAATAGGTTGCAGATAGCATAGAAAGAGTCTGAAAATGAGAGGTGAATGATTCTTCTAAAACCTTAATTTTAAGTAAGTTCCCAGGTGCTGCTTCCAAAGGGTATAGTAGAAATTAACATTTTGAAATAGGTAAAATGAAAGTGTTACAAGTAATCTTACTAAAATGAAACTCTTTGGGTGAGTGGTTTATTTTTTTGAGATGGAGTGTCCCTCTTGCCCAGACTGGCGTGCAGTGGCCCGATGTTGGCTCACCGCAACCTCCACCTCCCTGGTTCAAGCACTTCTGCCTCAGCCTCCTGAGTAGCTGAGATTACAGGCATGTGCCACCACGCCTGGCTAACTTGTATTTTTAGTAGAAATGGGATTTCACCATGTTGGCCAGGCCTGTCTCGAACTCCTGACCTTGTGATCCACCCACCCAAAGTGCTGGGATTAGAGACGTGAGCCACCTCAGCCAGCCACTTACTTTCTCTTTTTTCTTTTTTGTCTTTTTTTTTTCCTTCCTAATTCTATTTCTTCCCTAGCCCCCTACCCCTCCACAGGTCCTGGTGTGTGATGTTCCCTTTCCTGTGTCCATGTGTTCTCATTGTTAACTCCCATTTGTGAGTGAGAATATGCGGTGTTTGGTTTTCTGTTCCTGTGTTAGTTTGTTGAGAATGATGGCTTCTGCTTTATCCAGATCACTGCAAAGGACATGAACTCATCCTTTTTTATGGCTGCATAGTATTCCATGGTGTATATGTGTTACATTTTCTTTTTCTTTTTCTTTTTTTTTTAAATAAAGATGGGGTTTCACCATGTTGGTCAGGCTGGTCTTGAACTCCCAACCTCAGGTGATCTGCCCACCTTGGCCTCCAAAGTGCTTGGATTACAGGCGTGAGCCACCACGCCTGGCTATATGTGTTACATTTTCTTTATCCAGTCTATCATTGATGGGCATTGGGTTGGTTCCAAGTCTTTGCTATTGCGAACAGTGCTGTAAGAAACATACTTGTGCATGTGCCTTTATAGTAAAATGATTTGTAATCCTTTGGGTATACACCTGGTAATAGGATTGCTGGGTCAGATGGTATTTTCTGGTTCTAGATCCTTGAGGAATCACCACACTGTCTCTCACAGTGGTCGAACTAATTTACACTCCCACCAACAATGTAAAATGTATTTTCATTTTATACTTGCCCTGCCTAATTGAGAAACTTGGTATCTTTTATCAACAGTGGTTAACCTATTTTACTATCTTTTTTTTGTTTGTTTAAGTGGGGAGCTATTTTACTCCTTTTTATTTTTATTTTATTTTTTTTGGGGACGGAGTTTCGCTCTTGTTACCCAGGCTGGAGTGCAATGGCGCGATCTTGGCTCACCGCAACCTCCGCCTCCTGGGTTCAGGCAGTTCTCCTGCCTCAGCCTCCTGAGTAGCTGGGATTACAGGCACGCACCACCATGCCCAGCTAATGTTTTGTATTTTTAGTAGAGACGGGGTTTCACCGTGTTGACCGGGATGGTCTCGATCTCTTGACCTCGTGATCCACCCGCCTCGGCTTCCCAAAGTGCTGGGATTACAGGCTTGAGCCACTGCGCCCGGTCCTACTCCTTTTTAAAGAAGTTTGAATAAAGAGCTGTTTTACTGTCTTTTTAAAGTCCTTCATAGCATTTTAGATACTAACATAGAGCCCTATTCTCTTCTAATGTTTTTTTTTTAAAGGCTAGTCAGGGGAAGCAATGGGAGTGGCAAGGAACAAAGAAATCTGCAACTAGTTGTGATCAGTTAGTTGTAAATACCACTGCACTTGGACCAGCCACCCATTTCCATTAATTTATAAATCTGGATGTGTGTGTGTATTTTTTTAAACAGGTGCCATGTTTCAGAACAGAGTAAGACCCCTGGTAAAGAAGAACTGAAGAAATTATACAGACACCAGATATAGCCTAATTAAAAAGAAAGCATTAACCTGCCTCTGAGGTGACTAAAGGGGAATAATGGTGATTTTGCGCCGGGCTCGGCCGCCTGCTTCCGCCCCAACCAGCAATGAATCTTGACTCGCTCTCGCTGGCCTTGTCTCAAATCAGCTACCTGGTGGACAATTTAACCAAGAAAAATTACCGAGCCAGCCAGCAGGAAATACAGCATGTGAGTAAACTAGCCAGAAAACAAGTGCCATTAAAGGAATAAGTAAACAGTGGGAAGAAAACCACAAATTTATGTGGGCATGTTGCATGAAAGGTAACTAACTTTTGCATATTATTTCAGGTGATTTCTCTCATCATCATCATCTGTAAAAGTGATCTTAGCCAATC